CAGATACCCTGCACAGCCATGACTGCAGCCGGCTCCGCAGGCAGGTAAGTTTCTTTAATCTGCTTTCTTTATGACTGCCTGGGCTTGGTGGTGGTGGGGAGGAGCTGCAGGGTGCATGGGTTCCAGGCTGTTGGGTGGGGGGTTACTGACTATTGTTTAACTGTGCATTTAAAATTGCAATTAATTGTGACTACTTTTTTTAATCTCACAATTAATTGTGATCACATTTTTTAACCGTTTGTCAGCCCTACTCAATATTATTATTATTATTATTATTATTATTTTTTTTTTTAACTATGGGCTTGTTTTTTTCCTTTATGTTAAGCAAAGAGTCTTGTGAGATGTCTTGTGTGTAGTGAGTTTCCTTATTATGCTGATTATACCGGCAGAATGAGATGCTCATCGATAACACCTCTTGTGTTGCCCGCAAACCTTTCAATCTGGTCTCAAGAAATTGATTGGATTTTTAAAAAAATCACTAGGACTAAATTACCCTTGAAATGGTCTTTATTAATGTTCAAATCAACACGCTTGACAAAACATTGATGTACAAACTAAGAAAGCTGATAAACATTCTCTTAACAATAGCCATTAAACTAATGCATCAGGATTACAAAATTCAATACAATTGAATGTTGACTGTTGGTATTTATACTTTTATGTTAAATTTTTGAGCATATACTTTTAAAAAAATTGCCTGTTGAGAAACAAAAAATTGTAACCCCTGGGGCTCTATTCCTATCAGAAGCTGAGCATGAAGGGGCACATTGGCAGAGTGCCAGAGGACACTCCAGAGATCTATTTGGTAGCCGTGTTGGCCTGAGACAGAAATACAAAACTCTAAAACTCTTAGTTCAGAGATGATACCTTTTATTAGACCAACTAACAAATAGCAAAAAACATTTTTCTTTCTTTGCAAGCTTTTGGGCGCACACACCCTTCTTTAGGCTGAGGAGAAATCAAAGATTGCAAAAGTCCTCTTAGGTAGAATCATAGAATCAATGAGCCGGAAGGGACCTAGACAGATCATCGAGTCTGACCCCCTGCCATGGGCAGGAAGGAGCACTGGGGGTGGCAGGGGTCATAAGACCCCAGCCAGGTGCCTATCCAGTCTCCTCTTGAAGATTTCCAGGGAAGGTGAGAGCACCACCTCTCTGGGAAGCCTATTCCAGGCTGGCCACCCTTACCGTGAAGTAGTTCTTCCTAAAATCTAACCTAAACCTGTCCTCCCTCAGCTTGTGGCCATTGTTCCTGGTGACTCCAAGGGGGGCCCTGGTGACCAGACTTTCCCTGAGTCCCTGCTGGTGGCCCCTGATAAGGTTGTAGGCAGCCACAAAATAAACTTTATTTTGCACAGGGGAAATTGAGGCTGGAAGGATACTCCAACCATGTGAATAGTCCCATTTTGTTCATCAGACTATTTACATGGTTCTAGACTGAAAGTATTGTGGTTCCCAAGTATGAGTTCAGAGAGGACCAGTTCATTTGGGACGTTTGTTTCTTTTTCAGTACCAAGTTTAGACAACTTAAAGGGTCAGATCTGAGGTGAGCACGCTAAATATTAAGCCCATTCAAGTTGTCTCATTTTGGTCACCCTGAAGTACTAGTGATGTTTTACTTTTAGACTACAGTTTGGAATTTCAAGTGCTGGAAATGTATAGTAAACCCTTAAATGACATGAGTTGTTGTGGTTTTGTCTGGGGGTTTTTTGTGTGTGCGTGTTTGCTTACTTATACTTTCTTTCATTTGAAGACCATGTCTTGTACTACTTTCTCTCCTTGGAAAGGTAGACGCTCGCATAAGATATTAGAGCACTTTTCAATTTCTTCTTATTTCAAGATAAGGAAAAGTTAGATAATTGAACCACTTCTAGAAATATTTCCAACCTTAGGCAGTGCTGCAGGTGTAGCAAAACAAAAATATTTAAGAAGGGGTGAATGCGGTTAAGGATAAGGGAGTGCAAGGTGTGCTAATGTATGAACATGGCGCGGGCCAGCTACCCCATGGTAACTGCCATTTTATACCATCTTAACCCATGGTAAATGTGGTTACATAAGTAAGTGCAGAGCAGCCTTTTCAGTAAATTCACACCTTGGTTTGCCCAGATTACAGGAGAAAAACTGAGACTTAGTTTTTCCTAAGCATGTTAATGGCATATTGGTAGAATACTGTTATGGCTGTAATATCACTGTTGGAGTAATACAGTAATATTTCCTTAGTGTTTCTTCCAGAAATAGTTCTCCTTCCCACTTTTGTGTGCGCGAATAAATGGATAGGTGGTACCACTAATACAGGCAAGACAGTACTTCAAAACGGATTAAATTAAGAGGAGTGTCTTAATGCTTGTTGCTGTTTCTCATGGGCTAATTATGCAACAGAACAAGGCAAAGTTCTCCTTTTTACTTTGGAAGAATTGCATGTTTTAGAAAACAAGCTTGGCACCTTTAGTTTAGTTCAGTGACTTGCAACCAGGGTGCCATGGTGCCCTGGAGTGCTGTGACATCCTTTTCAGAGTGATGTGCAGTATTAGCACTCCTAGGCATGCAAACACCTACATGATTCACAAGATCAGTCTAGAGATTTCAAATAGAAATCCATGAAGTCAAACACATTATGACCTGTTTTGGTCTTTCTGAGTTTTTTACAACAGAAAAATTGCTCTCTTTTTCTCCAGTCACAAAACAAGTGAAAGCCAAGAGCTGGCATTTTCCAAGGGGTATCTTGAGGCTAAAAATGTTGAGAAGTGCTAGCCTGGTTGTAAGTAGGCAACCACACAAGAGCATGACAGAAGAATTTCTTCAGTAGCTTAAGCACAAGCAGGTTTTATCCAACATCAGGCAAGCAGACTTTGTCTCTCTGTCTTATTGTCTCCTCTTAAAGTTATTTACTGTGGGCAGAGCAGAGGAAATCTTGTTGCTCTTTTAGTCCCTCAATTCTTGTTCTATGAATTAATAATGCCATGGTGAAGCATAGGCTTATGTTACAAATCCAGACCTGCTTCACTCTCCTTTTATCTGCCTTCAAAATCCCAGGGCCTTTAGAGCAACTTGACAGGGTTTAGTTGTAGTTGACTTCCTCTGAGAACTGAGAATGCCTTTTCTCATCTCGGCATGTGAGGAACTAGAGCATGCTCCTTTATTGATTGAGGCCGTGCCAGGAGCCTAAACAGCTGAACACGTGGAAGCAGCAGCTTTTGGGCATCAGAAATGGTAGCCTGAGAAACTTGAACTAGATCAAATTCTGTAGACCCAGTTTTCATGCCCTGTAAAGTGGAACTAACTTGTTCATTTACACTAGCCCTAGTGAAGAGATTTTTGGATCATGTCAGATCTTATGTTTATGTATTTCTTTTCTTCTCCAAACACTTCACCAATGAGAGATGCACAATGTGATTCCTAAGACAGTCTTCTTTAAAACAGAATACTTGCGCACACCACCACTATGTAACAGTTTAAGACAGCGAAGAATAGTGTGTCTAGTGGAAACTGCCTGGAAATTTCAGAAGACATGTAACTCTTCCAGTTGACTTTGAGTCAGCTACAGTTTACATCCTAAGGAATATGTATAAAACAGACAGGTTAAACTTTGTGGGCAGATGAACCCACTTCATGTTGCGTGTGGTTACATAGTATGTGTTTTTTTTCTGGGCTGAACAACAGGCAGGTCTTGTATGCTAGCAGCTGACAGGTGCATTTAAGATTTAATCATGTTGCCTTAAAGGGTTGCACAGGGCACCAGATGTAAGCAATCAGGGCTGGATCCGAATGGGGGAAACGGAGCAAAGTCGCATCCTGACAACGTAGGGGCAGTGTACAAAAGGCAATGGGCAGTATAAGTGGATGGTGATGTGCTACACTTGTCTGGGAAGATTCTTATCTATAGTAACTTTCTGTTTTTCAGTTTTTATTGCTGACTTGCTGGTTTACATACCCGCTGTTATCATGTACTGTTGTTATTTAAAAGAAACATCAACTAAAAAAAAGGCAAGTATAAACCTCTGGTATTTCTAGGTATGAATAAAATATTTTGTTGTTTAATCAGAATAGAAAGTTGAAAGACTAAAAATAAATATAATTAATGCTACAGAGCAACTTTAACACTGTAGCATTCTGTACCATTGAAGACAATCGGTATATCTTGTACTAAAGACTACAGTTAGAAAATACTAACTTATTTTACAGCAGTTATTTTAATGACCCTCAATAATAACCATGTTAGTTAGTAACCATGAAGTGCTAACATAATGCTTCTTGTCAGAGGTATTATGTAGGCAGTAAAAAAAATATTTGTGCTCTGACATAAGGGAATTTGGGGACTGCTCTGGGTCCTGTATACTCTGTTACATGGCAGAACTGAAATATGCCATAAAATTGATGTTGGCATCAGTTCTTTATGTTCACTCTCCTCAGATATCGCTAGTCTGCCTATCTATAGAGAAATGTTCAGGACTGAGATGAGCACAGTTGTCTCTGTGAACTTGATGGGTTTCTACTTAATAATTCTTTATTTATTGGAGGTCACTTTGCCCCTTCCTGCTCACCAAGATATTGGTGGGAAGGTGGGATTAAGTGCAAAAAAAACAGTGTTCACTAGATGTAGGACTCTACGGGGGCTTGCCCAGGCCAGGCATTGTAAAAAAGAGATCAAGAGTATTCGTAACTCCAGAGCAGGATGAACTGGTAGAAGGCATACTGTCTCATTCATGTGCATTTTAAAGACTCTTATTCTCCCTCTTCCTCCCTTTTTCTTCTTTCTAGGTCTCCACTGCTCTTTGTGTATTGCTTTATCCAGGTCTTATTCTTATTGACCATGGACATTTTCAGTATCCTTGCATTTGTACTGAAATGGAAAAAAATCAGTTTACAAAACATCTCTCCCTAATATACAGCCTTTGCACTGGGACTTAGAAAGCTTTGTGGTTGTTTGATGAAAACAGAGGAATCCTTTCACCACAATGTAAATGTTGAAAGGAAATAGGAGCCCTTTAATGGACTGGAGGCCAATGACAGATATTGGTGGAAATTCAGCCCACGTAGAATATCCTTTTTGTACCCCAAATCTACCTTGGTGCCAGTCTGTCTTACCTTAGAAAATGTTGAGGCTGTTTGGCTATGAAAAGAGGGGTTGAACTATGCACCTGTGAGTGGCAGAAAGCAGAATAGGGTGGCACTTTATAGACTAATGGCCTTAGATCTAACTGGGGAAGTGAAGAATTTCAAACGAGGTTGTAAAATGTGACATTCTCTCCAGCTTTAGCTGTCGCTAGTTGACTGTCAATAATGGGAAGTGATTGTTTAGCACGTACTGTCTAAGGAGACGGTTTTGCACAATTTTCTAGCAGTCATATACTTCCCAGTGAGATATCTGTACACGACTCCCTATACAAAATTACTAAATCGGAGCACTCTGCCGCTGTTGTCCTTTAATAGCCTCCAATCTGCTAATTTACAATAATTGGTACCTTTTGAAACAAAAGGTGAATTTAAGTTATAGGTGAAATCTTGGGTTCTGTTTGTATACAGTTTCAATTTTCTCCATCTTCGAATATCCATAGCCACAAAACTCATTCATATAATGTAGGGCCCAATGAGTGATTAAGATAATTTTTCCACAGATATTTGCTCTTGATTTTAAATAAATTTGCTTTGTTATAATTTCTTTTTTTATGTGTTTTCCTGTGAATATTTGTGAGATTGAGTTTGGGTATGAATATTTGCAGGAGAAATTTGAAACTGTACACATAAACAGAACCCAAGATTTCACCTATAACTTAAATTCACCATTTGTTTCAAAAAGTACCAATTAGTGTAAATTGTATGCATCTTTGTCACTGGCTTTCTGACCCAAGTCTTGTTCATGTATGTGCACCTTTTTGGTTGCAGGCTTTTTGGTGGTCTAAGGACATAGGCTGGCAAAGTTCTTTGGGTAGATGTGTGATACCTTTTGGTTGCAGCTTGTATTGGAAAGTAAGTTACTATGGATATCAGTAAGCAAGTACAGGAATGGACTACTCCAGGGTGTGGTAATGGGTATCTTAGAACAGGGAACATGACAAATTCCTGGAACCAAGATAAATATGGAAACTTTATTACCCTGATACTCTAAAACTAGGCACGTAAGAAAACAGATTTTGAAAATATACCACTAAGGATTGCACTCGTCATTGCTAGTATGACTAATTGTGTTGTTCCTTCATTGGCATCGGTTGATTATTGAAAGGACAGGGCAATACAGAAGCTAAAACTCCAGTTTCCTTTTTATTCTGCCTCTTCAGTCATGTTACATCAGTTCAGTGTTACCTTGTGATGGTATTCAGTATATTCTGTCCCTCACGTATCTTTTCCTTAACTTAAAAACATATATAACTCTGTGAGCCTTGGCTTTGCTCTTTGGGGTGTACTTTTCTTGTCTAATAATTGGGACCTTTTAGGGTCAGTGGCATTTTGTTTGGCCATAAGTTATAAACAAATGGAGCTCTACCATTCCTTGCCTTTCTTTTGCTACCTACTTGGAAAATGCTTCAAGAGAGGCCTAACAGGAAAGGGGTGAGTATTGTTAAAGCTCAGTGTCCAGAAACCGGCTGAGGAATGCATATAGGCAGCCTCGCCTTGGGAATTTGATTCGTCTTATTTGCATGTCAGTCATTCTCTGCTAATCTCTGGTGGAAGGTACATGTATCAGTATGAGCGTTATGCTTCTTGTAGAACATTTTTTTTTTTTTTTTTTTTTT